AACTCCAGGGGGTGTGAATACTTTTTCATATTGAATGGATTTCTGCTTTTTAGAACTTGTTGGGGAGAACAGAGGAGAACCAATCCACCTGGCAGGGATTCAGGAAAAAGGTCCGCCTGTTGGTTCCCTACATGTGGCCCCGTGGCAACATCATTCTGCAGCTCCTGGTTCTCTTCTGTCTGGGACTGCTGGGAATTGAGCGAGTTATTAACGTCTTTGTTCCCATCTATTATAAAAATATTGGTGGGTGAGCCTCATCTTTTGGCTGTATGCAATTGCAATGAGAGTTGGAATAAAATTGAACCATATGCTCTTTTTCACAGTTAATGAATTAACTGATGGCAGCAGCTGGCGCACTGTGGCCTCCACAGTCTGTGTATATGTTGGGCTGAAGTTCCTGCAGGGTGGAGGAGCGGGTAAATACGAACCCTGATTTGGACAAAAGTCTCTTATCCAGCGTTCCACTGTTTGACCTTTTTTTTTTATTATTATTTTTGAGGTGCCTCTGGGTTTGTCAGTAACTTGCGCTCGTTCCTCTGGATTCGGGTGCAGCAGTACACCAACCGAGTGGTCCAAGTTCGTCTGTTTGCCCACTTGCACTCCCTCTCTCTGCGCTGGCATCTGGGCCGCAAAACCGGCGACGTGCTGAGGAGCATCGACCGCGGCACCTCATCCATCAACAGCTTGCTCAGGTCTATAGTTGTTCATGTCTTCTGTGTAATCAGTGGTTATCTTATACAATATTCAACTAATAATCTGTTTCTTTTTACAGCTACATTGTGTTCAGCATCTTCCCAACCATTGCTGATATTGTCATCTCCATCATCTACTTCGTCACTTACTTTAACGCCTGGTTCGGCCTTATCGTCTTCATTTGCATGACACTCTACCTCAGTAAGTCCTATCATGTTTCCTCTTATTCTTCCACTGGATGTTTTCCCCCAAAGTCTAGGTGATCAGAAAGGTGCTTTTCAAATTTATTTTTATTTTTTTTTGCTGAGTAATGAAAGAAGGACTTTTGTTTGGTCAGAAGTGGTTCTGGAGGCCATTTTTTTACCCAGTTTTTCTTCCCTGCTGAATCATAACCTGTAACTTGAGTCTCCTAAACACTTCCTTACAAATGTTTGGGTTAATTATTGATGTCTTCCAGCTCTCACCATCATCATCACCGAGTGGAGAACCAAGTACAGGCGAGACATGAATCAGCAGGACAACGCCGCCAAGTCCAAGGCTGTAGACTCCCTGTTGAACTTTGAGACGGTAGAGAAAACTTTTCCCATCTTGGTCATGAGCAAAGTTTTGTAAATAATCTGAAATAGATTTTCTCTTTAAGATAAAGAATGACAGCAACATATTTACTAGGGCTGCAACTAACGATTATTTTGATAATCGATTAAACTGTCAATTATTGTTTCGATTAGTCGATTAATAATCAGATTAGGTTCCTTAAAGATGATTTTATACAGAATCAAACCAGGTGAAACTATAACTTTTTGTTTAACTATAACTTTTTGACTTGTGGAGTTCAGAATAGAGCACATTGACAGGAGAAAAGGTGTTTTTTTAATCCAAAATGCCAAATATTTACATATTTTTTCCACATTTTTGGTATAATTGCTGCTCTAAGTGGGTCTCTCTGTCAGCTAAAAGCATGTTTTACAGACTCTGTACTCCAGTTAACGATTAATCGATTACTGAGAAGTTGGCGATTATTTTAAGAATTGATTAATCATGATTAATCCGATTGTTTCAGCCCTAATACTAACCTATATAAACTATTACTTTCATTGCTTTATTGGACTCCTTATTTTTAATTAAATCTGGGGAAAGAATTACTGTATTATTTTATGCCATGTGGGCATGCTCTTGTCACAGAACAGTTTTACATAGTCCCATCATACGTTTTATTTTCACTTTTTGCAGAACAGTTTTACATAGTCCCATCATAGGAAACGTTTTATTTTCACTTTTTGCATTTGAACCAATTACTTTCAAGGCTGGCGAAAATAACATTTGTTATTTTTAAAAGATGGAAATTGATGCACATGTTTTTTTTTTTGTGTGATTCGTAATGATTTAATATTATTCTTACAGCGTGACTAACAGTTTGATAGATACTGCAGAGAGATTACTTGTTTTTTAATGCAGTCGTTTAGGTTCTAGCTTAAATCTGGTTTGATGTTTGACGCCTCATCACGACAAAACCGATAACGTTGATTTTGATTGGACGGTTTTCAGATATATTCGATAGATTTAAAATTTAAAGGGAAAATAATCTGTGCTAATCACGAATCCTGATGTTAGGCTGCTATCCGTTCAAGAAGCAATTTTGATGCGTGGTGGAGCCATTATCCAGTTCAAGTTTCTCAGATTGTCTGAATCTAGAAACAAAATCTCCATGATCCAAACTTTACACCTAGTTTGGACTGAGCTTTGTAGCTGTTCACATGCCCAAGACTCAATGAGGCGAATGGGGAAAAAAACAATAAAAAGTTTCTACTCCGGCTGCAAAGCATGGTGGTGGCAGCATCATGCTGAGGGTCCATTCTACTTCCATTGGTTTTAATGAATGACACAACATAGAGTAAAGAATAACTATCTTCTAAATATTCAATTTCTTCTTTACTTAAAACCTCAGATTTAGAAACCTGAGAGACATTTAAACGTATAAGCATGATAGCAGTAGCACAGCAATGCTACCATCCATTGCAGGGAAACAGCAATGGATGGACTTATGAAGCTCAAAAACTACTGGAATCACTTTGAAGTAAGAAATGGTTTTATTTAAGGCCCATTAGGGTGTGACAACATTGAAGTGATGGAAAATGGACATGAAAACAGGTTTTAAAATGGAAAAAGAAACAAAAACAAAAGAGTTTGGAATGGGACCAAATAACGATCTGTGCTAGGAAAGGAATTCTACCTAGAAAAGTGTTTCTATATGCGGTTCAGTTGAAGAACCTGTTAGAATGCAAACTATAAGGCACACCCATCTGATTGTTCTCTTTGTCAAAACATGTAGAGGTAAAAAATAAAAATAAAATCTGATTTATTTTAGCAGCGATATTTACTGTAATGCCAGATTTGAAGGATAAAGGGTCTGCTGTCATTCTGCAGGTAAAGTACTACAACGCAGAGAACTATGAGGTCAGCCGTTTTGAAGACGCCATCTTGAAGTATCAGGTAAGTCCAAGCTGGTTACACTTTGTTATGTTGTTTAAAATTAGTCCGACCTGTCAGAGGGGATCAGGGCCTGTTTCCACTGCTCAGATTGTTATCAACACAAACCTTCTCAGTCTGTACATGCAGATACGTTTACTAGCAGTTAGTTTCTGTTTTACAACCAAAAAACAAAGAGTGTATTTTATTGGGATTTAATCATGTAGATCAACACATAGTCGCAGACAGGAGGCCTCTGATAGGTCAATCTACATCTGCTCTAAACTATGCGTATTTCCTGTTTGGTACCTAACCACTATTGTGGAAAACGGCTCATGAAGATGGACCAGCTAGAAGAGCGAGGTGTGCGAGAACGCTGGGACCCTTTTTCCACCTGTATCCCCGCTATTTTTTGCCCTCATATCCCTCCGTTGTCAGACAAACATGCGTCCATTTCCTCACCGCCTCGGCTGTATTTAGACCCACAGCTAGTTCATGATTGTCCCTCTTGCGTTGTGGCATGGAATAAGATAGCCTAGACCACGCTTCAAAATTGAGCATAAATCAAAAATGTCTGCGTCATACCTGCGACACACTGGTGCAGAAGTATAACCAGGCCTTAAGGTCTTTGCTCAGAGACCCAGAGTGGCAGTCCGTGGGAGTGGGGCTCGAACTCAGAACCTCAGGATTCGAAGCTCTATGGCCTAAGCTCTACGCCACCGCTCCTCCCTTTTTAACACCAATTTCTGATTCTCTGCAGGGTTTAATTCTAGACTTTGACTAGGCCATTTTCTGATGTTAACCAATAGGTTGCAGTTCTGTTTTAAACCTTCACCTCAAGTCTTTTACAGCCATACTGATTCTTATTATTTTATCTTTTTACTTTGACCAGCTTTTCTCTAATACCGAATATTTTTTTATATTTTATTTTTCCCTTTGGATATTTGTTACTTTTCCACCTAAAATCCCAATAAAAAAAACAACAGAAATTTGTTGTTTTTCAAAAGTAGGCTGACAGGCAAGGGGGTATGAGAGAGAGGCGGGGAGACATGTGGCAAAGGACCAAAAGTCAGATTCAAACCCGGGTCGGCCGCGTCGAAGACTAAGGCCTCTGTACGTGGGTCGTGCGCGCTAACCGCTGCGCCACCTGCACGCCCAGAAGTTTGTGTTTGTAATGGGAACTAATGTTTTGAGATTCAGCAGAATGACCATTTTGCATTCCTGAAAATTGTCTCGACATGGCTTTTGAAGCTTTGATTAGACGTTTCCTGTCTTCTCTTGTTTTAGGCTTCAGAGTGGAAGACTCAGGCGTCCCTCGCCTTGCTCAATCAGACCCAGAACCTCATCATCGGATCCGGGCTGCTGGCCGGCTCACTACTCTGCGCCTATTTTGTCACAGAGGGGAAATTTAAGGTGCCGACTCTGTTCATTCTCAGCATATCCTGACGTATTTTATTCTTCTTGTGACAATGACAATCCTCTGATCCAAGGTTGGAGATTTTGTTCTCTTCGGTACCTACATCATCCAACTCTACACCCCTCTGAACTGGTTTGGAACCTACTACAGGTAAAACAAGGCTTTAGATGCAGTTGAAGCTTAAAAAAGCTTTAAAATTCTAATCTGTTTTTTTTTTTCCTGCAGAATGATCCAAAATTCCTTCATCGACATGGAAAGCATGTTCAAACTGTTTGAGGAAGACGAAGAGGTATGTTTTTAAAAGTGAGGCGCAGTCAGACTGGTTGTTGTTGTGTTTCCTCTAAACTTTGCATGTTGTCTGCAGGTGAAAGATGAAGTAAATGCAGGGAATTTGCTGTATAAACTGGGAAGGGTGGAGTTTGACCATGTTTACTTCAGCTACACAAATGGGTTTGTTCATGTTTGCTTTCATTTTTAGTTCAATCTTGTTAAATAAGTGCAGATATAATAAAAGTTTTATATTGTTTTACAGAAAGGAGATTCTTAAAGATGTTTCCTTCACTGTTCTGCCAGGACAGACTGTTGCATTGGTATGTTGATTTTAAATCAAGAGATTTCCAATCAATAATATATTTTTTTTGTACGCTGATAGTAAACTTTGTTTTTCTCTCTTAAGGTTGGACCATCAGGATCTGGGAAAAGTACTATCATTCGTCTGCTTTTCCGTTTCTATGATGTTCAGGGAGGCTGCATTCGCATCGATGGCCAGGATATCTCAAAAGTAGGGATTCAGTAACAACTTATTCTTTTTTTATTTTATTTTCTAGATGAAGCAACAGTAGTTATATGTTTGCACAAGTAAAAACAAAAAAAGTGTTGTCTTAGTGCCATGAGTTGCATTTGACGCAAAATTTGACCATTAATACATGACGCGTTGTCCAATCTTTACAAAAATAGAAGCAAGGGTTTTATCTGAGTCCATAAAATGAACAACTTTATGAGTTGTTTTAATTTCTACTCTCCTTATGACCAGCATTTTCACTCTAATTTGCACCAACGTATGTTTTTTTTTTTTTCTAACAAAATGTGTCGCTCCTTGTGAGAAATATTTGAAATATTGGTATATTGCAGAAGTCACACTTTTCTCCATATTATCAGTCAATGTTTTCATGTTGAGAGTGATGAAGCAAAAATTTATATTTTATCTGCGGTTTAATGTAATCTGTGGTAAATAACCGGTGTTTTTTTTGTTTTGTTTTTTTAAGGGTAATGGAAAAATAAAGAGCTAACATAGAAGGCCCTTTTTGGTCTGGCTGTTAACTCTCTCATCTTAATGTATTAGCATCATGAACAGTTCTGTCTCCTTATCCATTCGCTTTATTCCATTCACATAATCTGGGAGCCCAAGCCATTTTTAATGGAGAGATTACATTTGAAGATTGAGGAGAAATCTGTTTTCCTGATATCAAATATTGACTTTCTTTTTATCAGTACCAGAGGTTTTATTTAGCTTTAGCTACATAGTTAATTTATCATCACCTCCTGTTTCCTCAGGTTAAGCAAACATCTCTGCGAGCTCACATCGGTGTGGTTCCCCAGGATACCGTGCTTTTCAACGACACAATCAAGGAGAACATCCGCTACGGTCGCATCACCGCCTCCGACCAGGAGGTGGAGGAGGCAGCTATAGCTGCGGATATACATGATAAAATCATGGCCTTCCCTGAAGGTAACCTGATGGACCTGCAGGTTGTAATTGATTTGTAATTTGCTTTTGATCAGAGCTTTATTTTAACCTCTTTTTTTTCAGGCTACGATACGCAGGTTGGTGAGAGAGGCCTGAAGCTGAGTGGAGGCGAAAAGCAGAGGGTTGCTATCGCCAGAACAATCCTGAAAGCGCCTCAGATCATTTTACTGGATGAGGTATCTGATTACTTGCAATATGAGAACCATCAGCTTTTGTTGTTTTTGTCAACATCAATCAATGTAATATATTCACTTGTCCCTATTAACCTGATGTTCAAATTTAATATTTTATGGAAATTTTAGAACAAGCTGTTTAATAAAACGTATGTTTGTCTTTAGGCAACATCTGCTCTGGACACGCAGACCGAGCGCAACATCCAGGCGTCTCTGGCTAAAGTGTGCACGAGCCGCACCACCGTCGTCGTAGCGCACAGGTGGGAGGAAGACGAGGCTTGGATGTGATCAATAGTTATTATTAAAATGTCTTTTAAAGGCCCATCCCCTCCTTTCCTTCCTGTTTCTCGTTTTCTACTCTGTGTTTAAAGCCTGGCCGCTGTTGAGGAAGTTTTAATTTTATAATTTAAAGTTTTTGGAACTTTGTTTACATAATATTCTGATTGGTTTTGTTCTTTTGTTTACGTTCTATTGTCCCTCATACACCAGGTTGTCCACCATCATCGGTGCGGATCAGATTCTGGTCATCAGTGAGGGTCGGATCGCTGAACGAGGACGGTAGGTTTTTTTTTTTTTTTTCTCCCTTGGTTCTGCTGGGTAGCAGGTCGGGAGTAAATATTAACCCTGTCTCATTTCTAAGACATGAAGAGCTGCTGTCCAAAGGAGGTCTGTATGCAGACATGTGGTCGAAGCAACAGCAGGCCCACGACTCAGACTCCTCATCAGATACAGAAGCGAAGGATCGCAAGTCTGAGAAACTCCAGCCACCGTCCTCCTCTTCCACCCAACAAGGGCATTGAATGTATCAGTTTGTTGACAAAGAAAAAAGTTATTTTTTTCTGTAGTCTGCCTTTCAAAGATCTGATGCTTTGTTTAAAAGGAACAGAGCGAGGTGATTGTTATTTATTTTTAGGAATTTTGCAAGTATGTGTGCAATGTCAGGTCAGGAAAAAAAAGGAAGGTGCCTTTAAAAACTGATGTAACACTATTATTCGAATGTATGGGAATACTTATCAAAGCTGAGATTATTTATCTAAGGTTTTGGTAAAAGGAAAATGAACAATCTTCAGATATATGAGGCTTAAGTTAAAATATGTTTGCAGCACTTTTAGCTGTTTTTGACTTCTGTTTTTATATTTGCATTTGCTCTGTTTTGAAAAACGACCCCCTCTTATTGAGACATTCATTATTGGACATACACGCAATAAGAATCTAAGGGAATAATTCAAAAAATAATTCATTTTCAGGAAAAAATGAATGATTAATTTGATTAAGAGAAGGGTAGATTTACAAGCCATCAGGGATTTTCTTTTATATGTTAACTCGGACAGTTGTTATTTAATGTAAAACTGTTTTTAAGAGGTGTATAAATGTTCACTTTATCATAGTCGGTTGTAATAGTCGCTCTATCCTCATAATGGTAGAGTTTGTACAGAAAAATCCTCCACGTCTACTGCTTTATCATCCATTTCAGGTAAAATGCTGGTTTCTTATACTTTCATAGACCTAGTTATTTTTTTGCAGTGAAAACATGTTATGAAATCTCACTTCTCACAGTAAGAATTGACATCCAAGTAACTATTGGTACTCTGTTTGTGAAAGGGAGTTGTACACTTTTCAGAGATCTGCACTATCTCTAAAGACTTTTTTTTTCTTCATTCATTGACCTGTGCAGCTAAAAATGTATATGTCATTATGTGAAGATTATGGAAATGTTTGCCATGTAGTTATAAACAATAAAAATATCTATTTTCACAGGTTCAAGGCTGTTTATTAAACTTTATGGAGAGGATGTCTCATTGAATCATAGTTGAAAAGTAGGAATCTTAAGAAAAAGGAAGATGCTGTTAGAAGTTTGTAATGGAAAATGGATGTCAAAATAACAAGTTCCTCGAAACCTGTTGCTATTGGTGTAATCTCAGATTTGCATTAATGTTACTACCGTAATATGTTTTAGTTGGGTTTTTAGTGCATTTTTTAACATTCCAAAGCTAGTGTGCTATTTGAAGAACAAAGTATGTATAGAAATTTCCAAACATTTGATAACGGGATTTATACATATTCATCTGCAAAAGGGGGGAGGGGGGTACCATTACAGGCAGCCTAGCCTCCAGTATTTGCTGAATATTTTCCCTGATTTTTTTTTTTTTTTTTTTTCAAAAGAAATTGAGGCTCAATATTTACCTGAATAAATTAAATGATAGGAACTACAAATTCCAGTAGAGGGATAGTGAAGATAAACTAGAGCAAAACAATGATGCTGAATGTTTTCAAGTTGCCAGGAGAAGGATTTTAAGATGAAACCCCTTTTTACAAAATAGCTGTTGACTTATACACACCTTTTTCAAAATATGTAAAACAAGACTGAGTTAATTCGGTAAATGTAGAAAATTTATTTTTTATATTTAAAGATCAAAACAAATAGGTGAATCCCAGACATAAGGTTAAATATTACCTGCTACAGTCCTTCAAAAGTAGATAATTGTATCAATTTATTTTCATTTCATTTTCTAATAAATATGAACAATTACTTTAGATGAGACATGGACACGTTTGCATTTTTTCCTAAGTTGAAAAAATGAATAGATTAATTCTGTCTGGCAGAACAAGAGGCTAACTGAAGAGTTTTAGGTTCATGCGATCTGGAATTTGCACATTTTGCAGAAATATACTATTAGAGTAGGTTATTCCTGCTTTTTCTTTTGCATTTAAACACCACAGAAGGAGAAAAAAACAAACATATTTTTATGAACTAGGATGTAAAAAAAAAAAAAAAGGCATGTTTTTTGGTTTGATACATTTTGGGGAAAAAAAACATTTAAATTTGTAAGTGAGGTAAGAAAAAAAACTATGAAGAAACTAAAAAAAATGCTTTTCTAAAAAGTGATATTTTACTTTTCTTGAAATTAACCCTCTGACAAACTTTTGCATTTTTTACTAAGTTTGAAAATTTAATAGAACTAGTTTAAATAAAGTTACGTTGAACTTTATTGAATAAAATATGTACATATGTATTCATCTTTACGTATATACGGATGTATATCAAATTAGTTTATTTACATGGCACCAATTTCTATTAAAACTACACCTCCGTCACTGAGGGCTCTGTCTTTGCCCACAGCGCCCCCTGCTGCCCAAGAGGCTTCATTTGCCTGGAAACGGAAGTAAACACCAGGCGGGTCTTGTCTGGACGTCCTCTGTCAGGGCGTGTTTCTAGCCAAGTTAAGCTTGGCAGGAAGCAGGGATCAGGACGGGCAGACTTTATTTCTCCCCCAAATTTAACGGTCTAATGCTTAATTTACAGTAACTATGGATTTCAACGCTTTATTCAACGAGCACACGTTTCAGTTTTCGGACTTCCAGGAGTTCACGGTATGAGCTAAAATCCTGCTAGGTCACGCGCTAAGCTAGCAGACGCTAACTCGTTAGCTCGCCGATGAAAATAACCGACAACTCTTGACTGCCTTATAAGGAAAAACATACCTAACTGTCTTTCTTGGGTTTAAAACTACACGCTAACGTTAATTATTGCATTAAATATTTACTATTCTACTCTACAAAATTGAAACTATGAAGTTATTTGTGGGTGGAGGCTGCTGTTTAGCTGTTATCTCAGCGCGCTAACTGACGTCACCGTGGGTTGTGGTTAATTGCTGTCACAGATGGTTTCCTGCACACCGTTACATTGCGAAACAGACATTTTCTGAACATTTAGCTTTATGTGTTTATGTTTATAAATGATGTTTAGTTATTTTCCCAGACGAGTGTTATTCTGTGTTCTTTGATTCCCACGTTTTAGCTCATGTTATTGTTTTTGCAGTTTCTTCCTGGACATCAAAAACTGACCGAGCGAGTGAGAAAAAGACTGTACTATGGCCTGGACAAAGATGTGTCACTAGATGCCCTATCTGCCCCTGTTACAGGTGAGTTAGTAACCTAGATTTGCATCAGGCATTATTCAATGAGGCTTTAATGTTTCTGTTTAGCTTATCTAGTCTACGGCTAAAACTTTTGATCAGATTAATTGTGATTATTTGATAATTGAAATAAGCATAATCTAACTTCCTAATTAATTAATTGTCAACTGAAATATAGAGACTAAAACATGCCTTTAGCTGACAGAGTAACCCACTTAAATCAGTTATTATAGCAATATTCATTTAATGTTCATTTACTGTCTGAAAAGCTGTACTAAACTAAATTTCTAAAGATTGCAAAAAAAAAAAAAGATATAAACATTTTGCATTTAAGATAAAAAAAAAATAAATAAATCATCTGGGAATATCCTCTTACCAGAACTCCTCAAGTTGAAAAGTTTTAGCTTCCCCCTGGTTTAATTTTATAAAAAGTTTTTGAGGAACCATTGGCTGTCCGATTATTAATCGAGAAAATAATCAACAGATTAATCGATTTGCATAATAATTGTTGTAAGCGGCCCTAATCCGGTGTAATTTTATCAAAGCATATTTTCATCTCATTCAAATAAATGCTTATTTTAGTGTTTTGTAATGGAAACTCACGTGTTGTGAGGTTTGTGTGAATATAATTAGATTAAAATTATTGATGGCTGACATGTTGACTTTGTACTTGCAGATATTGCTGTTGAAATCTTCCAAAAGTCTGCTCCAAGTCCAATCCGGAAGCTCCAGAAGAAATATGCAGCTCATGTTGCAAGGTTTGTCTTTTCAAACACATTTTTTTTTAAAACACTGCACTCGTCATTATTTTCAAAAGATTATTGTAAATTCAACTGCATCACTTCGTAGCACATGTCATCTCAAGGCACTTCACAGTTCAACCAGAACATACAGTCAAATTGATTAAAAGTTTTCTATCTAAGGAAAAACACAGCGAGGCAGACGAGCTCTGAGCCAGCTCCCATGACAGAGGATGAAAGAGAGAACATCCAGCTAGTCACAGTCAGAGAAACAGGCCGAGCTTGAAAATCTATAAAAAAGGTGTTGATGGCAGCAGCGCAGCTTATATTTCTCCTCAAGATGGACTCATAGCCAAACAGGAACAGACCAGATGATACTACTATGAGAAAAAGCACAGAGAGAGCATAATGTTAGATATTGAACTAACACATTCTGCAGAGTGGGAGAGTAGAGATAGAATAATGAAAAACGGTCCCTATGTCCTCCAGCAGTCTAAGACTATAGCAGCATAACTATTATTAAGTATATTTCTCTCTTGATTTAGGGAGGCTTGCATCTCTCCATGTGCCATGATGCTCGCTTTGGTTTATATTGAAAGACTTCGACACAGAAATCCCGAGTACCTGCAAAAGATCTCCTCATCTGACCTTTTCCTGATCTCCATGGTATGTTTGGGCATCATATATCACTGTAAATATAAAGCAGTGTTATTAATAGCATCTGTTGGAAATATGGTTGTGTTTTTAAGGCAGATTTGACTAATGAGATTCATATTTGTCTTTGTAGATGGTTGCCAGCAAGTACCTGTATGATGAAGGTGAGGAAGAGGAGGTTTTTAATGATGAGTGGGGAGCAGCTGGGAAACTGGACGTCGAAACTATCAACAACCTGGAGATGAATTTCCTGAATGCCATTGTAAGTGACCTATTGTGTTTTTTTTTCTGTATGCGTTTTTGTTGGATGGAGCTTTTCACCCTGTTGTTTTTTTATTCTCAAGGAGTGGAGCCTCTTCACCAAACCAAAGGACTTCTTTGATTTACTCAGCCAGCTGGAAACCAGGTTTGTTCAAATCTACAGCTGACAAAGTTTATCTCTTGTGTGTTTATAAAATGTAGTTGCATTCTTTCCGACAAGGTCGTTACATTTATTTTTAAATACTTTAAATCTGCTATTCTATGTTGGGTAAATGTATTTATTTTTTGTTTGCAGCGTTGCGGTGAAGCAAGGAATGAAACGTGGCTGGTTCACCTACACAGACCTGTGTGTGCTGCTGGATCACTCTGCCTGGAGTCACGCCCTCACTGCCTTCTATCAGCACTTTCTAAAGGTTAGAAACCTGCTTGGAAACAATTTAAAATCAAAGAACAGTATTGTTGAAACGGATGAGAAAAGGTTAAAAACATTTTATGCATCTTTGTTGTTTTTTTTAGGTCTCCTGTATGCTCAGCCTGGTCTACCTAACCAGTGTAGCTGGTCTTATTGCCAGCAGCGCTGTCGTGCACCAGCTCAGTTTGTCCAGAGGTGACCAATCCCTGCTTCCCTCGTTTAACGAAATCGGTTTCACCCACATCCAGACTTCCAATCCAAAAGCTCCAGCCCACCGCCTGCCTTGTTGTGTTCTGACCAATAAGTCTCTGAACAGTCACTCTGGTTCCCTTAAAACCAACCAACATGAAAGACAGAGAAATTCCCCTTTGGTTTCAAGGAAAAGCTCAATTTTGTGTCTTTGGGGTTCCCTTTTGGCCTCTGGTGGTCGTGGACATCCTGGACATAAGTCTGACTTGGAAAGTTCCTCCTCTTTTGGCTGTTTTGGAAACCTTCCTAATCTTCATTGTGTATTTAGAAACACGTCAGCCCTCCTTCACAACGGTCCTGTTAAAAGCCATCGTCAGCCGGGATGGCAACCCTCTGCAGGATCCAGTCTGGACTCACAAATCGGGAGCTTTCCGACCGTCGACCTGTCACCCTGCCGTCCTGAGCTTCTGCTGCCTGCAGACAAATATCAAGCTCTGCTCATGCCTGGCTAGAGGCGTCACTCTAATTCATGCTGGAAACACTTTGTTTTTGACTCACCATTGTCTAAAAAAAGGCACGTTTTTAGAATACAAATATAAAGAGGCACTTTTTCAAGGATAAAATTGGATTTTTTTTCACAGCGCAGTGATAAATGAAATTATATGCAGCAGAGATTATTGCTCTTTAGTTTTATATCTACTAAAAGAACTAAAAAAGGTGAGAAGATTGCTTTCGTATGGGAATGAGCAGGGTTTGTTCTGAATGTTTTGAGTTATACACGGTAATTGTAATGATGGTAACTGCTTGGGAGGTGAGTGTATGTGTTTAAAAGTTGCTAAAGCATATCTTAAAGTTAAAAGCTTTTATTTTACCAGCTGTGTAAGAAAGGAACAACCAATTTAGGCGTTTCATTTTGCTATGTGTAGCTAGGGTTACCATTTATTTTTCAGTGGAATCATCAGATAGGTTGCAAGCACTGGTTTTATTTTTTGTAACACCATATAGGTTGGGGTTGTCCCTGCCTTACTTCATCCAAGAGAAGGGATAGGAGAATGGAAGCAGACTACTGAATTAAAGCATCATCTGTAGATCAAAAGGCACCTGAAATAAGACATCATCTTATAATTTTCTTTAATATCTAGTATTTTCTTTATTTTTGCACCATATTTCACAATGGTAATAGGATGTGACAATCTTAAAGATAGATATTCCTGTTAGTAGGTTAAAGGTCGGCATTGAAGATTTTGCCTCTGGGTTTTCTTTGCGGCTCGATTGGTTCTGTCTGGCACAACAAGAGGCTAACTGAAGTGTTTTAGGTTCATGCGATCTGGAATTTGCACATTTTGCGGAAATACACCATTAGATTAGGTTATTGCTGCTTTCTTTTGCATTTAAACGCCACAGAAGGAGAAAAAAAAACTATTTTTATGAACTAGGATGTAAAAAAAAAAAAGGCATGTTTTTGGTTTGATACATTTTGGAGAAGAAAAACATTTAAATTTGTAAGTGAGGTATGCAAAAAAAACAATGAAACTAATAAATGCTTTTCTAAAGAGTGATATTTTTCTTTTCTTTATATTAACCCTCAACTTCCAAGCTTTAGACTGAAAGTGCATTATGCTCTCTTATATTTTAAAGGTGATGTCTTACCCTGTTACCCTCAGAACAGGTTAGCAGGTCCGCTAATGCTAACCTTTATTTGGCATGGGCATCTTCAACCTGCTCATCAATGGTTCTTAATAGGGGGTAAAAATGATATAAAGAGCTAACTTATGTACTATATAAAAAATAGCCTTAAAAGGCTGTATGTTTTTCCTTTTTTGTAAAGCTAAAATGCAAATAAACTTGGTTGTTTAAGATGCAACGGATTTCCTATGGCAGATATTTAACAAAGATTATTGGAAATTATACATTTTTGAGAAATTTAAGGCAAAGAAGAAACAATTTCTCATCTCGATCATGGAGCTACTAGGATCTGCCAATACTTGAGCTCCCTCTCATGTCCAACCTAATATTTATATATATTTTGGACCCATCAAAATTTACTAAACATTTCTATACTTTTTATTTTCCCTGATAAAACTAATCATTTATTCTGCACCATTCTGGGTGTATTACTTTTGTCAAATTAATGATTTTGATGAAAACGTAGCCATGAGATGTAATTTTAATACTCCTAAATAATATGTTTTTAGATGTTTGTGAATCTCATCCTAAAGCTGTGTAATACATTTAAAATGCAACTAATTGTTTTATCAATATGTGCAATATTCCTATCACCAAGGACTGTTTGGAGAGTAATAATTGTTAACTAAAATATTCCAAGTGTTATAATCTGTCATTTTTAATAATTATGAAATATTTAGTTGGACAGAATCTCAGGACAGGAGATGCTCAGACTGGATACAGGTGACATTGCCCTTAATTCTAAAGGGTCACTGAATTATGGAAGCACAGCTTCCATAATTCAAAAATTGAAGATAATTCAAAAAGTGAAGAAGGAACATTTTTCTCAATTAGTGTCTGTACCGTTATCCCAAAATGTTATAAATGTATTCCATTATTCCAAAAATCATCAGTTGGAGTTACTTTAAATTGAGCATCTGCAGAAATATTTAAATTCTTGTACAGTGTCCATTTATTTCCTAGGTTTTGATTTATTTATATTCAAAGTGCAACGTTTGAGGATTAAAGAAATACAATTTCAACATTACCATTAGCTTTTTGTAAATGGGATCATATCTATGAAAGCTTGGTTATAATACAGGGATTTCATTAGTCGGCTAAAACATGTTAGCAGCTGTTTGCTGTATAAAACGGGTTGAAGTTGGGTGACCTAGATATAAAAGAAAAGCCAACCCATATATGGTCAGAAAGTTATATTATTATAGCTCTAATCTGAGTGAACTGGAACTTTTATTTCACCTGTGCAGTATTGCACATCTGGTAAGAAGCATATTTACAGATGTGATTTTATAGAAGCCCTTTAATCTTAGCTACTCTTAAAAAACAGAAACATAAGAGCATAAGTCTTACCATCAAAAACAGGAAGAAGTTTGGAGAAACCATATGATTATGTAGTCATAAACATATACGTGTTAAGTCTCTTAAACTCTGCATGGACTAAATAAGTGGCCTGATGCCCATTGCTAAGTAGGGTGGATGATTCTCTTCCAGATTCCCTGGGAACCTTAATGGAGGTATGTAATTAAAACACCCAAAGAAAATGGTGTGCCTGCTATGAGCCTGGTTCTGCTGAAGGTTTCTGCCTGATCAAAAACAAGTCTTTCCTCTCCACCATCGCCACATGCATGATCGGTGTGAAGGATTGCTGAAGAGTCGATGACAAAACGCAAGCGGAAATCGTCACTGCGAGCTCACCCAGAAGGAGCATTTCATGCCTGTCAATGACTCCATGCAACCAGCTGGTGTTCCTTGATAGAAACTTTTATGGCACTGCATAAATAAACTGAAGGTCTTTATATCAGATATGATGTATTTCTAAAATTTTCATTAGGCCCGAGCAGCAAAGCGCTGCGAAGGCCTATTGTATTTCGAAAGTTTCTTATTAGGCCCGAGCAGCAAAGCGCTGCGAAGGCCTATTGTATTCCACAAAAGATTTCTTTGTAAGAGTTTTACACATCTTCACCAGGAAAGAGAAGAGTTGTAGAAGGACACAATGTCCTGGATGTCAGTGAAGGCACAATAACTGTTGACAGACATGAGAACAGATGTCTAGATTTGGGAGAAAACAGGCAGTCCCTCCCCTTGAACCTGTGCCAGTTTCCTTTTTCCCCTCCCCTCCTCTGCCACCAGCCGGACACATACCGCTCTGGAGCTCCTAATATAGACCCAAGTGCTTTATAGGAAAGGGTAACAAACCAAGCAGTCCCCGTCATTTGAGACCTGCTTTTTTTTTTCCATGGACGCACAGGAAAATGGAGCCTCTAACACGGGTGAATATTGCTTCTCTTTGGACACTTTCTAAAAAATTCTTTGGATTTTTAAGAATTTAGAGGTTTCTTGCGTTTGTTTTGTTGAAGGTATCATGTTCACAAGAGCAAACAAAGATAAAGAAACAAGGTACTTTTAAAGGACTGCCATGTTTTTATTGTGCATATACAGTTAATTCATATTAATAACTGTCTTGTTGCCAGCTGGTATTTGTATTTATTTTCATGCATCATGCTTTGGCTTCCTTTCTGATGAGCTGCTGTGGGTTTTCCTAGAGAATGATGCTGAGGTGTATGTGAATTTCATGAAGAGTCACAATTGCTATGACGCCATTCCAATCAGCTGCAAGCTGGTCATATTTGACACAACCTTACAGGTAAACTTTAATATACAGCACTCCCATATTATTTTTTTTTTTCCATTAAGTGTAATGAATAGTGCACATTTTGTTCCAAACGCAACTAGAAATCATTTATCTAGAAAAGTGAGGGAAAAAAGGAATGTTGTTAAAAAGCTGGAGTTTCTGCATGTTTCTGGTCAAACTCAGACATTTAACATATAACCTAAAAAAATAACCATTTATGAGGACTACTGATGATTATTTAGATGTCAATGTTTATAAGGACTTCTTCACATGGTGCATGGAATCGACCAACGTCTAGCAGTTGGGAATAGTACTGCTTCTCCCAGATCCTATGAATTTCTAGGTTTTACAGCAGAAACTGCCTAAGATCCCTTAATCCGCTAGGATTTGACTTGCTCCATCAAAATGTTAAGTTATTTTTTTTTAACCAAAAATTTTCGCACTAACTGGTGTTTTAGTTTTTTTTTTTTTTATTCAAAAGAATCTCTGCCTGTTTTGTAACCCAGAGGCCTGACACTATGGCTGTGTCCAAATGTCCACCCTAACCACTATATAGGGCCCTATGTAGTGATTATGCCATTTAAGATGAGAGTTCAAATGTCTAGTGGATGAAAAAGTAGTGGACTTGAAATTTCCCACAATGCACCTTGAAAAGTAGTGATCATCCATGGTCACTAGACGAGCAGATATATCTCAGAATGCTTTGTGCGGAGGTCTTTCCTCACAAAGCATCATAGGATTTGTTATCACAGCTGCCCGCTGTCGCTACCCGGCAGCAACGACAAATACCAAAGATGGAGCAGGCATCATGTGGAGAGACGAGTTACGTACGTGACCAACGAGGAGCGAAAAGTAGAGATCATCTGTCCGAATGGTAATTTAACTGAGTTTGCCATAAGGTCCACTATATAGTCCAAGCTCTATATAGTGATTGAGGGATTTAGGGGTTAGGGCGGACGTTCGAGCCTACAGCCTACGTTACCTTACACTACACTGTCAGGGACCAGAAACAAGTGCTTGCAAAATCTTCTTAGGTCTGCACTAAATGTATAATAACTGCAATTGGGGGGAAACATGTTATTTTTATTTTTTCATTTTTTTTTTTTTTTTGCATAATACAAACAGTTTGTTGCATATTTGCAACAACAGGCATAAAGGGTTTGACGACTTTTTATGCTGCTGTCTCCAAAGGTGAAAAAAGCCTTTTTTGCCCTGGTGGCAAATGGCTTGCGGGCTGCACCTCTATGGGACAGCAAGTTGCAGAGATTTGTGGGTAAGACATTCTCTTCTAGATGCGTTTTTTACCGTTGCCTCATATAAGAGCTTGGATGTGAATCCTTTTCTTCCACAGGCATGCTGACTATTACTGATTTCATCAACATCCTCCATTGTTATTACAAGTCACCCATGGTGAGCACAAATACAAAGGAGCTTAACTTCAATTTAAGGTCAATGTTTTGAGGGGGTCCTGTTGTATTTTTTAATTTACATATGTGTGTTTCTTTATAGTATATCTTTTCTCTGTAGATCATTATTAACTGTACATTTGTTATATTTTTTGTATTATATTTGTGTTTTTTTTATTAAACGTGTGTATTTTGGTTTTACTGTAACTTAGCTCCAAAATGGTGCTTAATTGAAATGTACTGATTAATAACATCAGTATGATACTGATTCAATTAATGTCATTTATCATCTATTTTTTTCTCCCAAAGGTCCAAATGTATGGACTGGAGAGCCATAAGATAGAAACATGGAGAGGTGATTCCCTTCGAAGTAAATAACTACCACTAACAATATCATCTTTAAGCTGAAATCAAACTAAATGTCAATTTGAGTTCTTCCCGTTTTCCAATCTAGATGTGTACTTGAAGTCTCCGACTCAGTACCTTATCAGTATTTCTCCACAGGCCAGGTAAAAAAACTAAAAAAAAAAAATTGTTATTTCTTGCTTATTTTCTGCGAAACCTTTAAATGTCACTGGCTTCTCTGCTTTTCCGGTTGCAGCCTCTTTGATGCCATCTATTCCTTACTCAGATACAAAATCCACAGACTGCCCGTCATCGACCCAGAGTCTGGAAATGTTCTGCACATCCTGACTCACAAGCGAATCCTCAAGTTTCTACACATATTTGTAAGCTGTTGTGTTTGCCCTCACACATTTCTTCAGGTTTTTTTTTGTTTGCTTGTTTTTTTTTTTTTATTGTCATTTCAATGTTTTAGATTAGATTACCAGAATCAATCAAAGAGCCTCTTTAACATTTAATAAATGATTAATTAAAAAACTTTGGCTTGATGTAAAAGTTCTAAAATGAATTTTCACTCAGTCTTTGTGCAAAATGGTTTTAAATTAAGCTGGATAGTATTTGCAACCTGTTTAAGGAAGTCCATATCAACAGGTTCAGGGTTTTCTTTGACTAAGCCACTCATACCCTTTATTGAGTTGTTTTTACGCCATCCACAGGTGAATTTGAGGTTGATTATTTTCAATTCAGCTTAAGCTTAAAAACTCCATGGTTCCATCAGTTTCCATCATACTGCATCATAAAGAATATTAGAGATAGCTTGGAAAGGCTCTTTAGTCTAGCGGAGTGATGTATGCTGTTCAGTGCAGTGAGGAATGCTCTGATCTTTATATTTGAGAAACCAAACAACCTCTCCACAGACGTATGGCCTCCTCCGGACAAGACTTGGACATCTACACCTTATGGACAAAGGGCGCTCATTTGAGGACCAGAAAGTTCACATTTTGGACAAAGTAGACCGGTGGTTTGAAAGGGGTGTGAAGGAAGCCATTTATGTTAAGAGAGAAAAACCAACCTTAAACAGAGGGGGTTTCAGCTCTTGAAAACCAATAACGCAGCAATAGAGTTGATTCCTTTCTGCTATCATCTCAATCCTCATCGCCATGCCAACTGAACCAGGCCAACAACGACCCAAACAACTCCCCTTTACAGAGGCATGGGCCAGTATCGGGTTTTGCAGGCCAACGACGACCTCAACGACTCCCCATTATTAAGGGGTGGACCTGTTTTTTTTCGGTTCAATTTGCATGTTTTCTAAGCCAAAACAATGCTTTTGTGGGGCTACTCTATAAAGCCTGGATCTTCACGCGACTCCAGATATTTTGAATTGAGCAAGCTTTGTGGGTGGGAAGTGAAACGTCTTCAAACTTGGAAAAGAAAGTCCAGTGGTTTGTTGTTGTTTTTTTTTACTTTTTTGTAAGTCTTATAAATGTAATTTATTTTGTTCCTCATCTGTTTTTGAATTTCTTTAGAACAAGGCTTTATACCCTATTTTTTTCTGAACACATTTGAGCTTTTTTTTTTCCTAAATAAATATAGTTATCATTTGAAAACTGCTTTTTGTATTAACATTTCTGTTTTTATTGTATAATTACCTTCATGTACTAAATCAACATAAGAACAGAGGAAATCTTCACGGTTTCTGGATATATTTTCAGGGGAAAAATTTGCCCAAACCTGCGTTTCTTCAGAGGCCGGTCCAGGAGCTGGGCATCGGAACGTTCAGGAACATTGCTACAGTCCACCAAACGGCGTCGCTTTACGAAGCCCTGTCTATATTTGTAGAGAGACGAGTGTCTGCACTTCCTGTGGTGGATGAGCGAGGTATTTCTTATTTAAAATCAGCGTTTCCATCTCTGACTTTATCTGCTCTTTGTATAAGCTTTGAACTGTTTGTTTATCTCAGGCAGAGTGGTGGCACTCTACTCAAGATTTGATGTCATCGTGAGTACAGCAGAAATCATCTGATTTAAGGCTTTGTTGTTTCCCACATGACTCAGCTGCTGACTTTCTGAGGGATTTAGCTTTTCTTTTTTCTTTTTTCACAACAGAATCTTGCAGCCCAGAAGACCTATAACAACCTGGACATGACGATGCAGGAAGCCATTCACAGACGCACATGTTGTGTTGAGGGTGTGATCAAGTGCTTTCCAGAGGAATCTTTAGAAATGGTCATAGATCGAATAGTTAAATCTGAGGTAGGTGGGGCGTTTTTTTGTTTTGCAATCAAATCAGGAGGTCAGGTGAAGAATAAAAAAAACATATTTTTTTCTTGCAGGTCCACCGGCTGGTCCTAGTGGACAGGTTTGACGTTGTGAAGGGCATTGTCTCTCTATCTGACCTGCTGCAGGCTTTGGTCCTCACGCCTGCAGGTATCGATGCTCTTCTGTCTTAGGAGTAAACAACAGCATTTTCTCTCTTCTGCTTTACTGCCTGTGCAGGCCTGAGGCCTGGCATTGTACCGAGGCAGGTAGGCTCTTAAGCTTTTCTATCCCCAACAACCCTTCAACATCTAGTTCTCAGTACCATAGTGTACATTTTTATTTACCTCCCTTTTATCCCTAAATAAAGTCCAGTGCAACCAGATTCCTTTAGAACTTCTCTATCGCTTTTTGGTATAAATCCAGCTGCTTTGTGGGGTTCTTAAGGGCTTGTTAGATGACATGTAAACAAAACGCATCATTAAGACCAAGGAACACAGGAGCCATTCAGGGAGAACGATCGGCAGATGTTTAGGCTTATGAAACAATATAGCAGCAATCTTCTGGTCAGGTAAGACCAAAAAATAATAACAGTAATAATTATTTCATCATATGCAAAAACAAAAGTTGTTACCCCTCAGTGTACTGCCACTTTTTTTTCCAGTGTGCAACACCTACCTTTTTAAGTAGCATATTTGTTGACAAGAAAATTGTGTTGGGAGAATCCCATTGGCTCGATGCAACACACTTTCTGTACATGCATGGGGCTGTAGGAGTTTCAGATGAGTGAGGAAATGCAGAGAACTATAATCACAGCGTGGTGCATGCCTGGCTGAATGATAATAGCAGAGCTCTGAACAGTCCTTTACAAGGAAACGGTGCTCTGATGCAAGCTAACACTCATGCATCCACCTGGAAAGGCTGATGCTGCATGAACAGCTGTGACAATCAGATATAAAATGACATCAGGGGCGGTGCTAGCCATTTGAGGAGCCATGAGCACAACTACTGTGTGAGGCCCCCTACCTGAAAATAAACAATATTGCTAAATTTGCCATTTCATTTGTATTTGTTTCCAAAGTAACTTCTAAATGCTAACAATTAAAAACAGCTGTAATAAATTAAAGGAGAGATTAAAGTCTTGAAAAAACATAAAAAAAATTTTGCCTCAACAATGGAGCATATACTTCTACACAAGATTACCTTTTTTTTTTTTTACTAATTGTGGGGAAAAATTACGAGATTAAGAGGGTTTTAAAATGAGAAATCAAAAAACAAAAGGGATTAATTGCAACATTGTGTTGTTGTTTTTTGTTGTTTTTTTTTTTTTTGCATTGCATCTAATAATATCTTTACATATTTTGTTGTAAATTTGTCCTTATTTTGATTTCTATAATTAGGATTTTTTTCCAAGCCCAATGTTTTCAGTGCCTCACAGGTACTTGGGGCCCTGGAAACTGATGTGTAATGCGAGTGAGCAAAGCGCTGCCTCTGGGTAGAATAGTAGTGCTAAAGAGACATAGGTTTGTTGAGGCCAGGCCACATTGAGAATAAATAAATTTCACTGAATGGAACCATAATGAGCTTATTGAAATCTGTTGTTGGATTTATCACAAAAAAAACAATATATCAATAGATAAATCTGTGTATGTTTCTATTGAATATTTGTATGCATTAATACCACTTAAAGCACTACTATTTACAAACACTATTTATGTCATAGTTGTGCTTTAATTGAAACTGCCGATTTATGGCCATTCTGCAAAGAGGTATGGCCATAAATTGTAAGTCACTAGATGTGTGAAAAGAATAGAAACTCACCTCTATAGCGGCTCTTAGGCATTATTATTGATTTTTATCCTTTTCAAATGGTTAATACTAAAGGCAAACAGTTGCATTGCATTTTATTTAGGGGTATAAGGTTTTTTAAACTGGTGTGTCTCACTTTGTAGGTTTCTGCTTGTTAAAACCAAGTATCATTTTCTATTAAATTTACAATTACACTCTACTTTGTGTCAGTCTGCCACATTTAAGAATAAAATAAAAGGAAATTTGTGTTTGTAACATGAGGAAAATGTGAAAAAGGCTCTAATGTTTTTGGTATTTATTGTATGTTCATTTGCAATGTTTGTAATTTGTATTTTTCAGAAAATGAAAGGAGAGATGATGAAAGGGCATATTTCCTGACTGTGCCATTTACTGTAACAGTAATGATGGCAATCCACAACCTGAGTGTTTTCACATCCAGGAAGAAGACTCTCATGACGTAACCGTTAGCTCCTGAGATATCCAATCCACACAGACTCCGTTTGCACACCTTGATCAATATGTTTACTCAGCATAATCTACTGGGATCATAATAAATCCATGTGAACTGATGCAGATGTGTTTTATTGATCCTGCCTCTTGACATGCACATTCATTACTATGTAATAAACAGCTATATACAACAAGCAGGAACCTTAACCACATGGTGACACACTCATACTTTGCACCAACTCCCCCCCACCCCCTATTAACACAGTAAACAAGGAACATGTGACCATTTTTACCTCCTTATTTGTGATGGTGCTTATGATGTCTCCGCCCATCTGTGGGCCCCTATCAGGACGTCAAGTTAGAATAATAAGGATCTACCAAAGGAGTGTGTAGATCCTTCACAGGAAAATAGCTCTTTAGCATATTTATAAAAATTAGATTTATTGTTAATTTTAAACATACATAATAGTACAATGTCATTTATGACAATGTGTATCATTTTTAATAAACTGTAAATGGCCTGTTTAGCCTATAAGCAGGGGCGGAGCTAAATGGGGGGCCAGGGTTGGCCAATCCCACCCCTACCATTATTTTTCTTTTAATACAGATGGTGGCAGCAGTAATACTCTCCAGTGGATTATATATTCGGAACATTTACATTTTTTGTGGTTAATTATACACATCAATATACTAGCATCAAAGACGATAAATATAGAATTCCTGCTCTTTTCAGAACTAGATTTTGTGTTATATGGGGTAAAGAGAAAAGGATGTCTCTGCAAGTCATCTGGGAGTCTTCAGTGAAATAGATAAATAGTAACAATTTGAATAAAAACTTATCAAATAAACAATTTATGTAGATATTAGTAGGCTATTTGTAAATATAAATTTTATGCAGAATGTTTATTGATACAAGTAGGTAAGTAATGACGATGGAAAAGATTTATGCTCCAGATCTCAAAACTGA